AACAGTGAATGCGTCCAAGCTGTAATTGTGAGTGGGAGGGTGGCTCTGTTCCTGTGTGTGAGAGTGTGAGTGGGTGTGTGAGTGGGAGGGCATATGAACTGTGGGAAATCACAATCAGAGGAGAGGGGGCTCAAATTTGTGTATGGTTGCATAGACAATTACACTGGTTGAACAGTGTGAAGAAGTTGGAATGCACCTTTCCTGCCATAATGAGAGAGAGAATAGTCTGTGTTCCTGCCAGGATGAACTACCGCGAGTTGGCTAAGGCTGTTACACACACACAGACACACACACACTGTCATGTTTCCATCACTTTAGAGGACATAACATGGACTTTTCCTGGAGAATTACCCTGACATTAAAGGCCGTTACAAACCTGAGGCTTGCCAAAAGAAAAGAGAGGAAATGTTAAATACTCTACTGTGAACATAGAGCTTTTATTATGAAAAAAAAAGAGTTTGCCGTATATAAGCCACTGTGTTTAGGTCTAGTGCCTCTTGAATTAAATTAATTCAGGGCTTGCGTAATGTAACTTGTTGCTAACGTGCTAGCGAGCCACGGCATGCTAGACATGTCATAGCTTATTTTTATTCTATCTTTACTTTATTTATATTGTAAACATATTGAATATATATTGTATTCTTGGTTGTTGCCATTATTTCCGGTGCGAAAGCTTTTACTCGTTCCCAGAAAAAATGACATTGCCGTGTTATATTCATGTTCTGTGTGAAAGTATTCATGACATAAAACATATTGACATTTGAAATATTATAAAAAGAAGAGGTGTAAAAGCCTATTTGCCTGTTCCTAACCATAACCTTCATTTGTAACCCTTAAATGTTGTGATAACGTCATTGGGACTTGCATTTTGTCCCCAAAAGAAAGTCCACAATGTGACTTTATAAAAACTGATTTATGTCCCCACACTACTCACACACACACGCACAGTTTATATCTTCCTCCCATGCACACACACAAAGGCTGTAAAATGAAAATCAATGTGAATAGACCTTCACTGTCACTGCAGTAATGACTGGGACAGCTGAGCAATGAGGTTGGCAAGAGTTATAACAGGTACAATTAGCGCAGTAGCACACACACACACACACACACACACACACACACACACACACACACACACACACACACACACACACACACACACACACACACACACACACACACACACACACACACACACACACACACACACACAGTAGCACAGGCTTAACCACAGATAAGCGAGGTTGGCAGTTAAATCCAGTTGGAGGACAGACTGCGAGGCCGGGAAGAAAGAGACAAAGACAGAGAGGGAGGCATCAAAAGAAAGAGGGCACAAAAAGCCAGAGGGAGAAAGATTTAGATGTGGATGGGGGGGGGGGGGGGGGGGGGGGGCGGACATTTTCGAGGCCTGGCACAGAATCAATTCACAGCATCACCAGCAGCGACACCAGACAGGCCTGGCAATCAACAGCTGAAGGGACCTCGTTACTTCAAGGTCACACACACCTACCACACACCCTGATGAAACTAGACCGAGGACATGGCGATGTTTCACATGAATTCTCCTGATTCCTCCTCCAATGATAAATGATTTTAACTCGTCTCTGGTATCACCACATTTGAAGTGGTATTCTCTGCACTCTGTCTTTATTGACTGTTTGGGGAGCTGAGTGGAAGGATTAGTCGGCAACTTGTGCGAGCATTGATTAGAGAAGTGCAGGACTTAAATAAGACTCCTACACCCAAATACTGCTTCACACCCCTGTTGGCTTTAAAGATGATCCTAAACCACTTTCAATGATGTTTACTCTTAGCCGTTAGCTTGGTTACAAATCTGATTGTGTATGTCTTGCAAATCCATTTTACGAGTAAAGAAAAATGCAAATGTTGAAAATAGACTTGATCTTTTCAACTACTAGTGTTAGTGATTATACTTTATTCTAGATATTTTAACTTGATTCTCAAAATAATAAATACTTCTCCGCATATACATTTTCGGATGTTTTAAAATGACTAAATGACATATTTTAAGATGGTGCACAGTGAAGTTTAGTAGGGCTTCCATTTGTTTACTTATCGTCTTGCTTAGGCGTCTGAAATGGTTTCATCAACTTCAGAATCCACACTTTGTTGCTCACTTGTACTCATATTACTAAATAAATACATTTTGGATGCTTCTGGGAATCATTTTGTTCTTGTGGAAGTGCCGCTCAATTCCAACTATTGCCACTTTGCCAGAATGACCCTAAGGCACAGCGCGGCTCATGACAAACTATTCCTACCTCGCATTTGACACAAATCTTTAGGTGTGGATTCACACAGTATGGAGGTTATTTGTGGGGCCACCAGGCTGCGGAGATATAACTTCCCAGTCACTTCACTTAAGTGGTATTGCATACTGGAGAGACAGATGTATTTACACCATTTCAACCTCTGGCGAGAAAGTGTATTTGCACTGCAATCCATGTGCTTCCTACACTTATTTTTTCGCACCATCCCAAGACACATAAATGGTGTGCAAAAGTAATTTAAGAGAGGACCTTTCTCTGTGTGATGTGCTGAATGTTGCATCACTGGATGAGCAGCAGGAGGCTTGCTGTTCTGACACTGACTACTAAAACTGTCTCTGAAATACATTTCCTAAACATAAATCTCATATTCTCAGTAACCTGTAACCCTCTCCTCGATACTCTTTGTCTGTGAGGTAAAGGTTGGCGGCAGAAAGGCTATTTTCCTGGCATTTGGTCCAAAACCTCTTGAGACTGTAGCTATAACTGTGATTTAGCTCAAATCCACCGCGGTGCACTGAGTTCTGAGTGCTGTCTGATTATTCTGACCTGGTGTTTGAAGGTCTGTCTGCAGAATCGCAAGAGGTTGTTTCTACGACTGCAACAAGCTAATCAGTGTTTGGCTCATTAGAAATAAATTCGCTTAATTAACGGGAGCCACAATCGATGGAGTGGAAGGGGAGAGGAGAGTGGGGAGATGAGAGTTTATATTTACGATGTGGTTGACGACAAAAGGAAGGAGAAAGCATCCAATAAAGCAGTGAGCAGGAAAAATGAGGGACCGCTATGAAAAAGAAGCAGGAGCTAAAGAAGATATATTGCCTGACTAATATGGACGGTGTGGTTTTCCATTTTAACCTTGAGGAGGAATACAAATCCTATACACACACACAACCACACACAATCTTTACTCATAAGCCTCTGGTTAGATCCTGCATGAAATCCATAAAAGCCTCCAATCACGTATGAAAGGGAGAAATGTAGCACGCAATACCACATTATATGCAAATTGTTCTTACTCTAATACCGTCTGATGGAAAACAATACATGGGCGAAGAAAAAGTCAATATGTTTTGAAGCAAATATAATCTGTGAAGTGGACCGGTGTGCAGACAGGGATCAATTTGAGCTGCAGCCATGCAGGGCGGGTGGCCACAGCCTTCATAGTGTCTCCATTAGTCCACACAGGAGAAGTGGGGGGGGGGCAATTTCACCCAATTTGTCTGCAGACTAATGCGTTCATCTCTGAATAGCAGCCGCACTCGGGATGTTTAATTTTGAAATGCTCTCCAGCTAAGATTATTCATTACACTGTGACAAAATGGAATCGATTCTGTTTCCACACCGTATTAAAGCAAATCCAGTAGAAAGTTAAACCACCTCCAGGTACTTTTGGAATACTTGACATTAACTTATCAAGCAAAGAAAGAGCCTTGCAATAGTTTGTAACAATGTGTAATATAAAATAGTTTTTAGCCAAGCTAGTATTTTTCGCCAGTTGGTTGGTCAGTCAACAACATTGGTCAAAAACTAAAACATTTCAACAATTATTGGATGGATTGCCATAGAATTTGGAATTGATGTTCTCTTAAGAATCAATTTGTGTCTGAACTCTGGAAACACAGGTACAAAATAAAGCTTAGATGGTATGCCGTGTACCATCGTTTAGATCAGTTGAGTAAAGTGATCTGCTTTTAACACACCTCTAAGAAGTTGTAGGAAAGTAGAGTATTAAACACAAAATCTCATTTAAATGTCATCAATAAACACAAAAAAGACTGGAAAGCTGTTTGTGGGAGAACACACTGCTCACACAATCCACTTCTAACACACTGCCAGTGGAAATTTGTGGCGCAATTTGCACGCATGCAACCAAATCCGATGAGAAGATGTCATTTTTCCTAAAGGCATTTACATTGCTTCTCACAGAACAGAAACATTAAATGAAATAGCTTTTTGTTAAATGTCAATTTGACTGTTTGAACACCTTTGTATGTGTTGTTATCATTTGATTTCATTAACATATCTTCTAACAAGACAGAATTTGTTTGTTTTACTTTAAGATAATCCTTGCCATTGGGTGCAGCTACTATCTTTGTACCGCAGATTATAACAATAACGCCCCTCAACACTTCGCATTGCGGTCTCCAGTGTCAGAAATATTCTTCAGTATATCCTTTGAGAAATAAATGATGTTGTGTGGGGAACATGTTAGGGCACAACGATGCTGCTTTAATTCCTGAAAACAGTTTTCTGCTGGACTAATTGTCTATTATGTAGGTGGGAGCGTCCGATCCCACCTCATTCCTGTAATGATAATAGCTTCTCGCGGTTAGCTGTTAATTACTGCTGCTCTGCCCGCGTGTGTCTAACTGTGTGTGTGTGTGTGTGTGTGTGTGTGTGTGTGTGTGTGTGTGTGTGTGTGTGTGTGTGTGTGTGTGTGTGTGTGTGTGTGTGTGTGTGTGTGTGTGTGTGTGTGTGTGTGTGTGTGTGTGTGTGTGTGTGTGTGTGTTCATTATGCTGAGCACGCTCGATGGGTGTGTGCAGCCATGAGTGAAAGCACCACTCTGCCGGAGAGACAGGAAAGGAGAGCGTCTATAAGTTGGATCGAGACTCAACACACAGGTGAGTCTCTGAGTCACCCTGACCTTCTGATTGGTCCATCAGCACACACACACACACACACACACACGTAGATAAAATACTCACATACAGATTGCGTCTGCAGCCCGGTGCGGCGAGGTGATGTCACAGCAGTTGATCTCAGTGGTTTGTAGTTGACTCCACCATCTGGCTTAGCTGCAGGACACACACACAAACACACACATTGTTATATTAATGTTACAAGACCACAAAATACCTCCTTTAAAACCCATTTTCTGACACTTACAGCACACACTGAGAATATGCACACACAGTCTCTATAGAAACGCAGAAGAAACATTTACAGTAATTACAATATCTTCCACTGACACCACACCAACCGCTAATACACACACATATTCCTAGGCATGAATAATTTATTTATGTTCACATACATTTAAAAATATCCTGCTTGAAATCAATTAAAATGCAGATGTCCTTCTCTCACAGCTCCCAAACAAATCTCCCCTGCCTCCTCTTGCCTTTGCCCAACCGTAAAATATGCGAGTCTCTGGAGCTCCTCACCAAGCCCCGCATTAAATTAGTGGCTCTGAAATATTAAATCTGGGTGTTTCAGAGAGTGTAAACATCCCAACATGGGGCAGCGGTGACCGTTAAAAGTCCTGCTGTTAACCACGGCACTTCCAAAAATCACTTTTCTATTAATTAACCAGGGACTGTGACACTGTTTCCTGCAAAGTTTTGTGTAGGTGGGACTATTTTCCTCCATCATTGTAGGCTGTAATCCTCATAATGACACGTAATTTCCAATGTAACTACTGTTGCAGGGGTAGGAGAAAAAAAAGGGCACATCACTTCCTGTACAGCCGAAGATCTATCCAAGAGGAACCAAATATGTGTCCCTATTCTTCACCTAATAACAGGGCAGCAGTTAGAAAAGAATTGGTGCTGTTTCAAGTGTTATGGTCTCGATATCCCGGATTAATGTATTTATTGAGATACATAAAATGTGATAGGCAGGCTATTTAAAAAATCTTGCAGAGCCACAACGTTAATTCCATTTTTGCTCAGCACACCTGCCAGAAATGATGAGACTAAACTATGTTGGAAAAACGTAAAACTCAAACCTATGGTCCGTTTGACACAGTGACAAAAGTAGGCATTACAATGTCTATACTCAATCCAATTGCTTTCTAAATGTGTGTTAGATTTACATTTTTGTCCCTTCAAATAAATGCATTAATAAGTGGGGGAACTAGCACAGTGAATTTAAAAAGACTGTGAATGGTGGTGAGACAGCTCCACTTTTGGAATATAAACAAGTATTAAATCTGTCAAAAAACTTTTTTGCTTGCTCAGCCCCACCAGAAATCTGGAAATGCACCTTCTGTGTGTGTGAGGCTTACAGTATGCATTAACCAACTGCCGGATTCACTGACAACTAACATATCTTGTTTTTTTTTTAGCAAAGATGCTGTCATTTCTGACTGAAAAACCTAAGCGAAATGCGCACATGGAGTTTGGTTGTGTGCCAATCTACTGAAATTTGCCTTGAACCTTTAAAACTCGAGATTGGTTCCCCCACTTTTGTACTATCAATCAGAATAGGGTAACAAAATGGACATTTACATCTAAGTGTCACAGTTTATTAATTTAACCTTCATGTGGGAAGGTTGATTAAGCACAGTTGCACTTTTTAATCAACTTTACACTCAAAGTTCTGCATTGCCCGCCTCAGTTAGGACTTTAGTGTAATGTTCAAGGGCAGTGTGTGTGCCGTAGTCTCTTTGCACACACTCCAGCTTCTCACAGGATTTAAACTGACAACTTGGGCTGTGACCTCACCTTATTTAACATTAGGCCCTGAAGTTTGTATGTAATTATATAGTCAAGCTTGGGATGAAAGTATTTAATTTAATTTACAAGCTACTTCATATTTACTTCCATTCAATGTCAATATTCCACTTGTGTGAAGGTAATGGCACTCGTACATGTCCACTGTGCACGGAAGTGTGTGTGTGTGTGTGTGTGTGTGTGTGTGTGTGTGTGTGTGTGTGTGTGTGTGTGTGTGTGTGTGTGTGTGTGTGTGTGTGTGTGTGTGTGTGTGTGTGTGTGTGTGTGTGTGTGTGTGTGTGTGTGCATAGCAGTTAGCGGTCATGACAATATGAAAGAGTGACTGGGGGTCCTTTAAGCTCCCTCCGAGGCATTCAGCCGTGAATGCCTATTAGAGAAGCACTTACCTTGAAACACACACACACACATACATACGTACGTACATACATACACACAATCTAGATGTACCCTAAAGGTAGTTAAAGTTGTTTTTGCCGTTAATGTAGATCAAGTGTCACGTTGACACTCTCTGACAACCACATGGGGCTGATGATCAGAGGTCAAAGCATACTGAGGGCAAGAACTGAAGAGACAATGCACATAATTACACCCACTGTAAAGCACGTCACACACACACACACACACACACACACACACACACACACACACACACACACACACACACACACACACACACACACACACACACACACACACACACCACACACACACACACACACACACACACACGACATAAGACATACATGTATCATATCAAGGATAACCAATAGACTGAAACCAATTTTGAGTTGTGTTTTTTTAACTGCTTGAGACATGCTTCATGTTAGGGCTCCTTTATTAATCGAAATGTTATAAAAATCACAAAATGGACTGATGCAATATCCAAATCGCAGTAAGAGCATTATTTATTATATGCTAAATATGTGAAAATATCTGAATGAAGTGTTGTGGAGCTGCAGACAAGTACCGGCCTAAATAGGTACTCCACAGACTAAAAGTCTAAAAAAAATAGAAAATCTTTTTCGGTACAGTTCACTTAAAACACACACAAAAAAACAGTAAAGATCATTTAATATCATTTTTGATTAAAATAATATTAAAAGTTTTAAAAGATATATCCAAAAACTAAACTATAAAGTAAGGCTATATTTTAGGTCTTTAGTCAGTCTAACTTTTTTTTAGCATGTCATGTTATCCATCTCATGCTAATGCAGAATTATCCAAAAATGTGTAATGTGTTATCCTTCATCAAAGAGTTCCCATGCTCCATTCTTTATCTCCAACCAAATGGTTTCCATCCATTCGTTACACCCAACAAAGTAATTATGATGTTGTAATTAGGTTTAATCTGGTCCCACACTCCATCTCCATAGCAATCATCCATCGCTTCCACACCTCCAGCAGCTTCCCTGTGCTCCACTGCTTCTCCTCTCTGTTCATCTTTTACCTGTAACTCCACCCCTTCACCTCTGCCATTCATTGCAGTATTTTTTCATCACTTTATCACTCCCTTCCTTCATTTCTCTCCATCTTTGTGCCTTTGTTTCATCATTATTTTCAGCATTCATCTAGCCATCCCTCGACCACCTCCACCTGACCTGCATTTCGCCTTGCTCGTTTATATCTCCCATCTTTTACAACTCCAATTTCCTTTCTTGTGGCTCTATTGATTTGTACATTCACCAATACAATTAAACAGCACCATCTGCACACATCAGCATCTCTGGAACAGGGCAACAAATTAAACAGTCGAGACCGGCTAAACTAATTATGCCAACACTGGAAATAGTTGCCATGCAAAATTATTAAGAACCAAGCAACCAAGTAATTCCTTATTAAATAAATCATATCTGCAAAATGATAATGGACCAGTTTCATACATGAGATGATTAATGAAAGAGCCTAGCAACCAAGGAAGAACCAACAAATGAAGAAAATTATAAAAGAAATTACCAAAAAATCAAAGAGCCAGAATGCCAAAGAGACAACCAACAAACAAACCAAGGAACGAACTGAGTTACCAGAGAAGAACCAAAGGAGAAAACAAATCGCCAAATAGCCAAACAAAGAACCAAAGAATGGAACAATTCATTAGAAAAATTATGGCAGCCTCCTAGCGGCTAATGAAAAGTCATTTTTAATTATTTATCCCCAATCGTATTATGGCTTCATTTGGCTCACCTCTCACCGCGAGGGAATGCATTTAAATTGCCTCCTCATGTAAGAATTATTGATTCTTCAGTGAACCAATGCAAGGATTCAGATTACAATCAAAGTCATTATCCATATGCACAAAGCGTAAAACTGCAATTTCATTAAACCTGTGTGCCTAAATGACCTTTGACCTGAGGACAATGAGTACAGACATCTCTATTTCTGCTACTGTTTTAACATGAGTCCCTTTCACTCTCCTTAATTCAATTCATGACTTTGGTATAAATGATGCATGAACTATATCAAAACTGCACAAATTCAACTATGGAATTAAACATTAATGTTTTTATTACTCTTTCTTTCTCCTTTCTTATTCTCTGTCCCTGTCTCAGTTTCCACACAACACACAGATGAACGGTGTGTGTGGATCCATAGTGGAGCAGCGGTGCGCGGCGGAGCGAGGATATTGCAAAGGTCAAACCGAAACACGGAGCACACTTTTAAATACGCTCACACACCGGCACACACACACACACACAGAAACACACACAGCCTTCACACGCGATGCTCTGTTCGACAGTGACACATGGCTTATGCAACACACGCTCAGAGATGCAAAAAGATGCAAAAAGAAAGGAATACAACACAGAAACACATGGCTGAAATGCAAGATGTAGGAAGAGCGCACACACACACACACACACACACACACACACACACACACACACACACACACACACACACACACACACACACACACACACACACACACACACACACACACACACACACACACACACACACACACACACATTCACAGCTCTTGTCAGTGCTGTATTGAGTCGAGGGTGACTGAGTGACTCACTGTTGTAGCTGACTGCCTATTTGGCTGTCTGCACTGCCAATAGACACACAATCACAGAGTCAATACCCTGTGAACGCTCACACACAGGCAGACTGAACGACTGCGCACCGAATGTTTTCAAATGTGTGCAAGGTGGCAGAGGGGATGAGTCATTCCTGCCTTCAGAAACTCTTCACAACTGGGAGTTTGACTTTGCAACGACCTTTCAGTCTGTCTTTCTCTGTGTGCTCTCTGGAGCAGAACTCACAGTGAGCTCAACGTGTACCCTATGAAAAATCAACACCTGGTACATATGGAAAAGAACAGATATTTTAGTAGATAA